CTTCCATAATTGTTTTCCACTGTTGACTGATTAATGAGTAAATATGCTTTATATTTTGTTATCTGCATGGATTCATTCAGTCCATTCCTGTATGATGGAGCTTTAGAACCAGGTTCTGAACAGAACCACAATAAATTTAGGAAGAACATGCACCCACATCCCTGACTATGAGGAGCTCAGTATCTTTAAACTGCAGGATGATTCAAACAGACAATGGGGAAAACAGCAGTTGTTACTGGAAATGATTCCACTTGGGGGTGACATCATTCCATCACCAAAGACAATGAGCTCTTAGATCTTCAGGGTCTCAAGAGTGATTTCTAGCAGAGAAAGAAAAACTTCCTTAAATACTATGCAGTACCCAATCTCTCCTTCTTTAAAGATTTGTTTAGATTTTAAAAAATGTATATCAAAACATATACATTAGCTCACCCAGTACTTATAGTTCCCATATAGAAATGAAATGTTGGTGACATCAAGGAAAACTAAGAGATGCACAATGTTATCTTAGATTTTCATTAGTTTATGATTCTGATCTCTAGAAAACCCTTAGTGTTTATAGTACTAGGTTGTTAGACTCTAAAAAAATTCCAAACAGATTGGAGATTTGTTTCAGAATTAAGGGTCATTTGATGGGATCACGACCTAGGGAGATCTTGATGCTACTTTTCAAATCTATCTTGGAAATTCAGATAAGATCAGGCATATTCAGGGAGATATGGCCATGGACTATCTTGGAAATTCAAACACAAAAGAATAGCACTTTGTTATAAGAAAAGTATCATTCCCAATTTGGATATTTTTTGCTGTTACATATTTAAAACTTTTTAAAAAAACATCTCTTTGCACTGCTGGGGGATTTTATTCAATTTTTTTCTTAGAGCTTGAAACTTAATTTTTGACTTCAATAATTATCTTGAAACTACCTGAGAGATGGATCCAAAATTCTATACAGATATTTAATGACATAGAATCAGAATTCAACCATCTTTGAGGAAACATACCTGTGAATTAATGAGCCAAATGCAGAAGCCTCTACATTTACATAGTTTGTCATGATCTTTTCTCCCTTTTTTCTCCTTAGTTTAAGGAAATAGAAGTAAATGAATAAAAGGCAAAAGTGACAACTAGTATTTTTTCTCAATGAAAGAGAAATCTTTCCTATTGCTGATTTTAATTATTGAAAAGATTGAAGTCTGTCTTGCTCCAAATTTGTATATCTCAGCAGCTACTGATGAGGAATTCTGAATGGCTGCTATCACAAGGACAGATGTCACAAAGGTATTTTTAAGGTTACTGTAAGAAAAATGGAACCAATTCTCCCATTAAAAAATCACTTGATTAGCCACACTGCCCTCTTTTTAGGATCTTAAAAGGCCATCTCTTCTTTTCTTTATTATAGATATCACTCTCAAAGCTCCTCCAATTTGTCACATCTTCATAATTTTCTATATCTCAGTTAACAAATTTTAATCTGCAACAAGTCAGAGCAATGTTCTGAGTTCTGAATCTGCTAAACCCAACTGCACAGTGCTATAACATGATGCTTCACTGCGTTAGCTTCTACCCACTATCAGGTCACATTGCAAGTTCAAGTAAGCTGGCTTCTCATTATCATCTTGGTGGTTTTTTCTTCTTTTTTTTTTTTAAATTTTTTTCCTATTTTCTAAATACTTTTAATGCCCTTAGATATGTATTTGACCTAGTTTTTATAACACCATAGTTATAAAGTTGTCATACTGTCCTTCCATTTTTCAGACTTATAATTTTACCCCTTCTCTGGGATATTATTTGTTTCTTCTTCAGTACAAAACTTCTGCTTTCACTTGTCAATTTAATTATACATTTCACAAGTTGTTGAAGAAAGTGAATATCAACAGTGTAAGCATTTTCTGCATTGCTATCTAATGGTAATCACTTATATTCTCTTATAATATAAATATACGTAGCAATCATGCATGAAGTAATTTTTCATGAAAAACTTCCTAATATCAAAATAAATTATTTCAATGATAATAGCATATGTATTGGTAATCCATCACATAGGGATAATCTGACTTGAGCTATTTACAGGGATTTTTATTGGAAGAAAATCTTGCAAATAACCCATTATCAAATTTAGGGGTGGGAATTATTTTTTACCCCCTTTCTAAATCAACACTGCAAATATAAGGAAATACGAATTTCCATGATGGTAGCCTATGTTTTATTGAGATTTGAAAACTCACAATTATAAACCACTTTAACATAGGAAAGAATGTGGTAGGTAGATGATGAATTAAAGTGATGGCATAGTTTTTGTCAAACTAATTCAACATATAATTGTAAAAATGCCATACATTTTACATGCATATTATACATATCTTGAAGTCTTAGAAATATGAAGAGATTAAAACAATTCACTAAATGAATTCCATTTATTTAAAAATATTTCTGAGTGCTCACTTTGTGTCAGGTTCTGTAGGTACAGTTGGTAGAAGAATGAAGCAAACAAAACAATATAAGCACGTGCCATCATGGGGCTATGATTTAAATATAAGGAGAGAGACAATAAACAATAATAAGTTAGCAGGTAAGTATTTTATAAAATGAAAGATAAACTGAGCATGGTGGAGCACACCCATGATCCCAACACTCCAAGGCAGGATGATCATGAATTTGAGGTCAGTCTCAAAAAAAAAAAAAAAAAAAACAGAAAAAGGAAGAAAGGAAAGAAGGGACGGAGGGAGGGAAAAGAAAAGAAAAATCACAGGCTGACAAGGATGGGAGGTGCCAGACATAGGAAAAGACAGGAACCTATTACGATGGAGATGGAAAGTCTAGCTGCTATGGTTGGTTATACTTTGAGCATGTCCCTCAAAGGTTCATGTGTTGAAATGTAGTCTGCAACATGAGGCATTCAGAGGATAGAAACTTGAGCTGGCAGGGTGGCTCAACTAGTAAGATCACCTGCCTAGCAAGCATGAGGCCCTGAGTTCAAACTCCACTGCCACCAAAAAATTAAATAAGTTTAAAAAATAGTTTAAGAAAGAGGACAGAAACTTATTATGACATGGTATTTAAAGGTGGAGTCTTTGGGAGGTGATTAGGATTAAATAAAGTCATCAGGTGGAGCCTCCATGACTGACTATTGGTGGTTTTATAAGAACAGGAACAAACACCAAAATGCACATGTGTACACACAAGCAACTCCTTGTCTCTCATCATGGGATGTCCTGTACAACCTGAGGACTCTGTCAGGAAGAAATTCATCACCAGATGTGTTCCCCAGAAACGTGAGTCAAAATAAACTTCCTTTCTTTATAAAGCTACCCAGCCTCAGTTATTCCACTTAAACAAAGCTAGAGAAATTTCTCTTGAGAGAAGTTTTGAGAGGTGGGTGTGGCAAAATGCCCAAGTGTCGGAGAAGAGGGGGAAAATTAACCAATAGCTCATAGTGGAATGAAGACACTGAAGAGAAAGAAGATGAAGCCACATAGAGAGAGGGCAGATCTCTGAATGGCCAGTTAGGTGGTGGGCAAATAATAGCCACTGAAGCATTGGAGCATAAGGGGCATGCAATAGTAGGATGTAATGATAGTCATCTTACAGCATGGTGAAGACAATGAGAAAAATGATGGAATGCTTCACACTAGCTCTTAGAAACTACAAGGTTAAAAACACATTGCCCCTCCCAAACAAATGGATGAAAATACTAACTCTGGCTTTCAAGTGAAAACTAAGAACATTTTAGAAAATAACTGCTTTCCAGAGAAATGACTACATGACTAAATAAAGGAACACAAACCTGCACTTGTAGTCCAAGCACTGTTATAGAGTAAAACTATGAACACAGTGGACATTTTTTATTCACTTACGCTGCTTATTAGAAACACCAAAAAGGCTGGCAGAGTGCCTTAAGTGGTGGAGCACACGCCTAGCAAGTGTGAGGCCCTGAGGTTCAAACCCCAGTACTGCCAAAAAAAAGAAAGGTACTAAGGAAAAATAAACAAACATGTGACTATGGCAAAAAAAGAAACCTCAGAAGACAACTACCATTGCACACACAGAATGTGAATCACTGTTCACCTAAGTCTGAAGACAACGGGAACACTTTGATTCTAATTTCCAATACACCAAAGCCACCTAGCTAGCACTTTATTTTTTCCTGACCAGAAGGGCCTGTTCAATTACCAAAAGTTAAAATCAAATTGATCAAGGCTCTTAGGATAATAAATTTTAGTCTTAAAAAAGTCCTCTATTTGAAACTCTCTTCACCTTAGCCCATAATCCTCCTATTAGGAATATTTTTTTTTTCTCAATTGATCTTCATTAACTTTATTTCCGTAGTGGTAAAATAGCTATAGAGTACAGACCCAGGGAAGATGCCAAAAGTGAAGAACTACACGAGTTCACTCATGTGGAGAGGAAAGCTCAAGGGTGACTTAGCCAGTGTAGCCATGCTTCAAAACAGGCAACGGGATTTGGAGGACTTGTGCACATATCATTCTTAGCAAAATGGGAACCTCTGAAAGTGAATTAATTGAATACATGGGATTTCTGGGGCGTTTCCTAAACTCCCAGTCTTAACTCTGAGCTCTTGTTTGAAGTGTGGAGAACAGGACTGAGGCCTCTGAGTACTACTATAGTTGTGGATACAAGAGAGGGGCTGGGCTCCCTCCCTCTGCAGGGGTTCAAGAGGTCAGGATGATTGAACATAAATCTTTTTAGAACTCTTCCCAAACAGGATCCCAGGGATTGGGAACAAAAGTACTAACTTCAGCCTTATGCCATTATTTTATGCCTGTGAAAACCATTACGCTTTTCAACTGTGGAGTACTACCTAAATCTCACTATCTTCCCATGTCTCATGGAGAATATTTTGCCTTCCAAAGAACCTTTCTATCAATCAATTATCTGAAAGTCCCTAAATCTTAAGGATTAAGGATTAAGTTGCCAAAGTAATTTCTGGAAGGAAATAGACATTACTTACTGTGTATAGGATAGGCTAAGAGGGGAGGAGCAAAAAGTGTGTTTCATGCCAGTGGGAACTTAATTTGGGGATTTTTGATCATTTAACTTAGCCTGAAGTTGTGAAGTGTTTTGTCTTGAAACGGTAGAGATAAAGTTGAAAAAGTATTGGAAGCTTTTTCTGTGTAAAATAATTATGTTCGTTCAGTTTAAATAAAACCAGTCACAGTTTAGGAGGCCTAGCTTCCTGTGAAATGAGAAGTCAGCACTGATTGCAGAAATCTGATTATAACAGATCCATCCTAAAAACCATCACAATGTGCCCAGCCCTGTGCAAGGCGAGGGGAATAAATAGGATGAAGCCTATTCTGGGACTTTACATGATGGGCCATGGTGGACAATAAACATACAGTAAAATAGGTTGTTGTAAGAAGGGCTCTGAAGGAAGTAATGTCTTGTCCACGCGTGCACATAGGGTAGACCTCTGAGTCGTGGTGGTGTCACTTCTAGATTCTCACTGTGTTGAGCCAAGGTGGGATGTGGTTGCTTCCCCAGGCCAATGTAAGGGGCCATGTCAGACTCTAACCTTCTGTGTCAGGCTGAATTGCCCACCACCCAAGACCCCTCCCGCAGAACTTTTGGAATCATCTCTGATTCTCTGGTAGCCCCAACAAGGGAGTGGTGGATCATGAACCGTGGAACTAAGAGTTTAGAGGAAATGGCAGCATTGTGGAATAAATAACTGTAATGTGTGCTGTCTTGCCTGCACCCTAATTGGCTCTGATTTCTCAGGTGAGTTGCTTTTCTTGGAAGCAGTACAGCCAAGGGGCTGGGATGTCCGCTTGGAAGAGGAGAAGCTCAGGTTGCCCGAACTGGATTAGCCCTGGGAATATCCCTGGAGGCCCCGCCCTGCCCCGCCATACCCAATGGGCTGCTGGCCCCAGGTCTGAGCTCCAACCCCGCCTCGCTGTGGGGGAGTGGCCCCATAAAAGGCATTTGTGGCCTCCTCTAGGGGAATGACATTTGGGTCTTGTCTTTGTGGGAAAAGGCTCCTTACTGCAGGGCCTGAAGCCCAACTAGGCTGAGCCTCTTAAGGGTTTGTTTCCTAAACAAAGGTGTCATAAAGAAAGGGTGGGCGTGACCTAGCCAAGGTGAGCTAGGGAAGCGGCCAGAAGGCATTACTCCCTTGACTCCCACTGAGTCTGCGACTCTGCATGCCATGTCCCTGTTGCATGTCATGTCCCTTCTAGGTATTTGGGCCCCAAGGCTCCTTCTCATGTCGCTAGAGTTATGGTTGTTGACCCAGGGTTTTCCCATTCCGAAGAGGGCCCAGGACTTGGTCCAGCTGACCTCCGAAGCGCCTGGGCCAACTGAGCCCTGGTCCTTACACTCCTTGGACCTCCTTCCTGACTCGCCCGAGAAGCTCACACCCCCGGCAAACCCGGGGGGCTTTGATTATCTGGGATCATCTGCTCCCTCGCAGGTGCTCTCCCCACCTCACTTGTTGACTGACAGTTTGCTTCCTTTCCTGGACTGGGAATCTGCTAGGCAGCTGTCTCCAGAGCCAGGTCAGTTTGCTGTTGCACACAAGGAGCTGCTTGACAAGCTAAATCTGCCTGAGAGGCCCCCAGAAGCGGTGCCCATGCCCAGTGGGGAACAGAATCAGGCCCCAGCTCTGCCTCTTTTACTCAAAAGTAAGACTCAGCCTGTCAGTCTAGATCAGGCTTCAGATCGAGTATTTGATGTATTTGTTCCACTTCTTGATCATAAGAGATTAAAACGAAAAATGTTTATTGGTTTACCCTGGAAACTGAAAAAGTATGTAGCTCAGCATCACGGACTTGATGACACTGTGGTTGGAACTCCACACCAATTTGCAAACCTTCAGCTTCAGACACAACCCTTGCAGGATGATGACACAGATCCAGGTCTGAGCACAGCTGATTCTGACAGCCCTCCTCTGAAACCTCAGGAGAGCACAGATGAGCCTCCAGAGCCCCTTGAGCAAGTTGAACCTTCTGCAGTCCAGCAAGAAGCCCCAGTTCAACCCTCAGACTTGCCAAAAGTCACCATGAAACATATCGATCTGGAGGTTACACTAACTTCAGAGCCTTCTCCAAGGCAGAAGCAGGCCTCAGAGAGTACTGAGGACGTTAACACTCTCATCCACCCAACAAGAGGCTCCAGCTCAGACTTCAGAGCTCCCTGAAGACACTGAACCTTTTGCAAGCCAGATGGAAGCCCCAGTTCAGCCTACAACTCCTCCGAAAGAAGTCAAACCCCCTGTTGAGCAAGATCCTACAGATGAAGCTCCAGAGTCCCGTATGGAGAACACAGCTCCAACTCTACCAAATCAGGAGGTGACGGTTCAACCTCCAGCTCAGGATCAAGCTCAACAAACTATCTTGCCCAGTGTTACAGGTAAGCCTGTGGATGTGGAAATCACCATGAGATCAGAGCCTACCAAGAAGGCTGCATCTTCTCTAGCCCAGCCATAGGCCCCAGCTGAGCCTTCTGAATCTCCCGGGGAGGCTGAAACTTCTGGAACCCATCTGCAGTCCCCAGTTCAGCCTCCAGAATATGGTGAGGAGCTTCAACCTTCTTTAACCCAGCAAGTGGTCCCACCTCAGCCTTCAGGCCCTCTTTCAGAGACTGAAACTTCTCCCAGTGAGCAAGAACAGCCAGAGGAACCTTCTGAGTCTTCTGAGGAATTGGAACCTTCTGGAAGCCAGACAGAAGCTCCAGTTCAGCCTGCAAAGCCATCTGAGGAAGTCAAGCCTTCACCTGAGCAAGAGGTTCCAGTTCAAGCTCCAGAGGCTTCAGTTCAAGCTCCAGAGGCGACAGTTCAAGCTCCAGAGGTGACAGTTCAAGCTCCCGTTCAGAATCAAGCACAACAGGATAACTTGGCCAGTGAAACAAATAAGCCTGTGGATGTGGCAATTACCATAACTCCAGAGCCAGCCCAGGAGGCTGCATCTGCTCTAACTCAGCCTTCAGAGTATGCTGAAGGGGCAGAACCTTCTCTCGGTGAGAAGGAACAAACAGTTCAGCCTTCTGTGTCTCCTGGGGAGGCTCAACCTTCTGGAATTCACATGGCTGCTCCAGTACAGGCCTCAGAGCATACTGAGGAGTTTGAACCTCCTCCACCCCAGCAGGAACAACCAGCTGAGTCTTCAGTGTCCTCTGAACAGTCTGAAGCTTTGAAAAACCAGCATGAGATTACAACTCAGATGCCAGAACCCTCAGAAAAGGATGAACTTTCTCCAGTCAATCAAGGGGCTCCAACTCAGCTAGAAGAGCTTCCTGAGGAACCTTCTCCAAGCCAGCAGGAGAGCTCAGTTCCTCCTGTAATGCCCCTTGCGAATGCTGAACTTTCACCAATTCAGCCACAACTCCCAACTCCGTCTCCAGAATCCTCTGAGGAGGCTAGTGATCTTCCTCCATTGGCAGATAGCACATCACTTTCACCTCACGATCTGTTGTAAAGGATGGCTGTTTTCAAGTAAGAATCCAAGTTCATGTTGTTTTTGTTGTCCCACCACTGTGCAACTGAAGCTGTTGTCTTCTTCTTTGGCTTTTTCTTTTTGTAGAAATCTTGGTTGCAATTTAATCACAGAGTTGAACTTTGGAACATTTCAGGCATGGCATGGAATGCAGTTTTTACAGCAAGTGTAAGTGGAATAGAAGATAAGCATGTTTCAAAACTGAATTATGTCTTTCATGTAGTCTCATAGATATTGAAAATGACCATTTAATTCCATTGCATTTTTCAGAATTCTCAGTCGTAATCCTCTGACAACTGTCGAAGATTCCCATCTTTTTAAATTGCCAGCATTAAAGTACCTGCATACAATGAATAGCCAAGCCTGGTCCTGTGTATAATTTCTTATGACATATATGGGCATTTAAAATGCTTTGCTTTTTGGTGCTGTATGAGAATTTTTTCATCATCAAAATCTCTATTACAATACCAGCACCACGGCTTCAGCTGCTTCTTCTTTTTGCGACCCATGACTGCGCTCTACCGACAAAGTAAAAAGGAGGAGAAAAAAGAAGGAAAAAAAGCGAGGAGAAAAATCGCCCGCTTTTCCGACCCAACGGCCACACCGCGTCCCACAGGAAGCCGACACAAAATGGCCGATAGGCTCGTTCGCTCCTAGGAATATTTAGTTATTCAAAATTTATGTGAATATTTGTGAGTTAAATTGAGGTTTCTATAATTTCAATCACTCTTCTATGTTCATACCATTCTACATTTCAAACAATTTTATCTTAAATAATTGTGTTAATGTCATGTATAATATCTTAAGATAGAGAAACAATTTTTAACAGCCATGAATACTGATGCAGTTATTTTCAGAGAGGTGCATGTGTGTGTGTGTGTGTGTGTGTGTGTGTGTGATGATACAGATGTGAGAACAATACTACAAGGCTGTCACATGGGAAAGACAATTGAGACACCAGCAAACAGACTAACTTCTTCACTCAATGACACCATGATTGGATGAGGTGCTTTCAAACTATTATTTCATCTGTAGAAGTTGCAGATGATGGGCTTTGCTTTTCCACATGTAACAGATACGCACTTTGACTATAAAACTAAAAAAAAAAAATACATGTGAATTTTTGTCTGACATTGTGATAGGGAAGGACTTTGTAAGCATAAAGGCAATAGAATAAAATCCATAGAGGAACAAGATGGACAAATTTGACAGGTACAAAATTTTTAAACTTTAAAAATCATAAAATAGTGAATTCGTATTCATATATACACATTAACTCCAAATGGATCGTAAATATAAATGTAAAAATAAAAATTAAAGCTCATAGAAGAAAACAAAGCAGAAAAATCTCCATAGCTTTGGATAAAACAAAAGCCCAGATAGGACACAAAAGGTATTAGACAAAAGAAAATTAGAAAAGCTGGATTTAGTAAAATTTAGAACTGTTCCTTGCAATTCACTGTTAAGAAAATGAAAAGAGAAAAGCTACAGACTGGGGGAAACTACTTGCAAAATTCATGTTTGATAAATGACTGGTATCCAAAATATATTTAAAAACTCATACCCAATTATACAAAAATAAGCAACTCAATTTTCAAAAATGGGTAAGAGATTTGAACAGATACTCTAACAAAGAAGATACACAGACAACAAATGAGCACAGAAGAGCATCCTCGGTCATTAGGAAAAACACATTAAAACTGATGGCATATTACCTGCACACCTATTAGAATGGCTAAAATTTAAAATATTAATAAATATTGATTAAAAATATAGGACTGGCAAGAATGTGGAGCAACTGGATTCCTTACACATTTCTGCTGGGAATATCAAATGGTATAATCACTGTGGAAACAGTTTGGTGATTTCTTTATGATGCTAAGCACAGGACAGGAAGTGTGGCTCAAGTGGTAGAGTGCATACTTAGCAAGCACAGGGCCCTGAGTTCAATCCCCAGCAGTATCACAAGAAAAAAAAAAAAGAGTTAAGCACATACCATATGACCCAGAGACCTACTCCTCGGTATTCTGCAAGAGAACTGAAAGCATGTCTACACAAGAGCTTGTACACAAATAACCATAACAACTTCATTCATAATCACCAAATACAGAAGTGTTGATAAGCTGCCCATCATTATAACAAAATATCTGAGATAATTAACTTATAAATCAGAAGGGGTGATTTTTGGCTCACAGTTTTAGAGCTTTCAATCCAAGATTGGGAGGACCCATTGCTTTTAGGCCTCTACTGGGATTTCTGGGTGACAAAGGCAGGGAGTATTGACAGAGCAAACTGCTTACATTGCAAGGAAGAGAAAATGGAGGAGGAAGGGGCTGGGGATCCTACAATTCCCTTTAGGGACATGTCCCCGATGACAGAGACCTTCCACAAGGCCCTGGCTCCTAAAGGTCAACTGCACCTCCCAACAACTGCACCCTGGGGAACTGAGCATCTAGCACCTGGACCTTTGGGGGACTTTAAGCCTCCAAACTATAGCATATCCCCAAATTTATCAACTGGTAAGTTAAAAACATGTAATACTACCTAATAATAAAAAGAATGAGCTACTAACACATGTAGTAACATGAGAAGAAACACAAAACAGAATGCTAAGAGAAAGAAACCAGACAAAAGACAGACCATGTGATTCTATTCATAGAACTTTCTGAAAAAGGCAAAAGGACAGAGACGGGAAAAATTCAGTGGCAGCCAGGAGCTGAGGATGGGGAAGGGGAAAGAAGGAACTTTCTGAGGTGATCGCATATATTTGTCAAAACTCACAGAACTGCACACCGAAAGTGGGCACATTTTTCTGAATAAAAATTATCTTTCAATAAATGTGACTTGAAATTTTAAGCTTCTGCCAAGGAGAAGTCTGAGTCAATGATATATATTTATGATGGAAAAATAGATTAATCTCAGTAAATTTTTAGTTTGGAGACACAGAAACAGGAAAATGAGAATTATTATCCATTACTAATTATTGGACATTTCCTACTGAATGCCATATACTAAGCAGTTCTCCAATAGGCTGAGTTCAAACTAAGGAAATTTAATCCTGGTTTTAATCAACTGCTAGGATCATGTTTCTTAGGAGGCTCTTTACAAACATCTTGTCCCAGATTAATTTATATTTATTTATTTTTGCCCAAAGGAGTATAGGAGCAAATACTTTTCCAGTTTGGGAATGATGACATGTTAAAAATTAATAAAAATAAAAATGAAAGTCCATGGCATTTGTTAAAGGGTAATAAAATAACTCCAGTCAATTGGCTAGTTCTACACCAGTAGATTTCTTTAAATAGTAATGAAATCATGGCTTTAGAAAAAATCCATCATTATTAAAATAAAAACAAAATTTGCCTCAGCCTCCACCAAAATTAGATTTGTAAGTTGCTGGTCATTCCTATAATTAAATCCATGTCACAAATTTGCAAGAAAAATGGTCAGTGTGACTAATGCATTTACTTGCTACACAAGTCCTGTCAGACAGCACAGAGCAATACACTGCTAAGATGGACAGGTAAAAATTCTATGCATTCCTATTCAGTAACAAGATCCTCTGTTTACAGTGACTTCAGATACGAGTTTCTTGTAAATACAATGCACTTGGCACTCTGACACACACGCATGTTGCTCTTCTGGACAAGTGTTATACAGAAAAGATAGAAGACAGCAAAAGAAATATGAACAGGTCCAGAGTCCCTGATTACGGGAATTTCCTCATTTGCCCTCCCCAAATAATTTTAATTCACTTCTTAGATGAAGTGACTGAGAAAAGACTCTGAGAACAGTATGGCCCTGAGTATAAGTCAAAGCAAGATGACTCAATGGATACATGGACAGAGAATGAGGGACTAAAGTTACTCTCTTTTCAACTGCTTTCCAGTCCTGCTGAGTGCAGAGGGGAAGGTGCTTGACCTTGTACCGGTGCTAATTTCACCTTTTACAAAAGGAGGGCAGGCATCAAAACCCAGCCTGTGTAGTCAACAAAGTTAGCTACAAAAGTAATAGCAGATTTTTATCCTTTTGATTTAATATCATCCACGACAAGACAGGTTTTCTTATTTATAGCATTGGTATTTTGGCTTGAAATAAATTTACATGGTTAAAAGTGGTTCTTATTTAGCAAACAACGTGCTGAGTGAAGCAAAAGCCACCATGACACCTCAATGCTAGAAACTGCATGCAAGGCAGTTCCTGTTTTCCCTCTTTCTTCAATCTCTCATTGTTACTTATTTTTTCACATAGTTACATTTTGTCTTTGCTTCAGCATCTAGAAATAAGTCTTGAATCTCAGGGGCTCTGAGAATACACAAGTTGATTTTTCTATACTATTTTCCTATTTTGTGCCACACTACTAATTGACAGTTGTTTTGCTTTTTTAAGGAAAAGTAGTTTGCTCTTAGCAATCCAGCCTTCATGATGCTCGCTGCTCCCCAAAGGTAATCGTGAAATGGATAACATGACAGGTTCCATTTTGCAAGGTAGAAACCAGCTTTCATTCATCTGAATATAGTTCATAGGACAAGTTTTAAAGATTAGATGGGCCTCACAAAATGCTGGTTTTGCAGAGTCCTTAAGCAGTACAAAGATGAAGTTGAAATGGCATTCGACATGGTAACATCAACTATCACAAAAGAAGTTGCTTGTTTGTTCTGGAATTTAAGTTTAATGAAAATAAAAATGTGTTTTATAAGTAAGTTATGAACTTAAGGGGTGGCACCAAAATTCCAAGTGAATAATTTGCATTTGGTAAAATTTTAAGAAAATTAAATAAACAAACCAAAAAACCACAATCCTCAATATTGCACAAAATGAGACTCTCCATAACCAGAAACTAAATATATCCTAGACTTAGATGAAAAGAAAAAGCAAATTAATCTCCAGACATGATTGCTCAGGACTGTAATCCCAGCACTCAGAGGCAGAGGCAGGAGGATTGTAAATTCCAGGTCGACCTGGGCTACAAAGCCAGACCCTGTCATACACACACACACAGCACACACATACATACACATATACACACAGAGAAAGGAGTTGGGGGAGGGAGGGAGAGAAAGCAAACTACAATCGAGTCTTGTCTAGAACTGCCTGTTTCCCCTTTTGGTTAACATTTGACATTCTTGCCGTGTCACACAGAAACCAATGAGCAAGAAAGGCAGTATGCTTCCTTTCTGCTGTTTTAAATATTCCTAAGTATATTTTTGAATGGAAAATGAAGACTGAAAGAAGGTCACTAAAACATGGCATTAGTGTTTGGGATTTCTTTTCTTCCAGTAACTTTGGTAAAAACAGTTAACAATTCAACTCTTTCTATAAAGCTGGACTGTACGGGGCAGTGGGCAGGCAAAGTAAAGAGGAGAAGAGAACAATTGAGTGAGGGAGGAAAACTGTATGCTGGCTCACTCTTCATTTCAAGACTAGGAGTTCTTTTGAAACCTTGATTTTGCATGGAAAGAACAGCTCCTACCAGTTCTAGCAATCAGCATTTTTAAAAAGAATAATTATGTGAAAGAAACTCATTTCTTGACACTTTAAGTGAAGATATTTGGAAAGAAAGCAGAGATTCCATGTTAAGCATTCACAAAGACGATTTTACTTTTCCTCTAACTTTTTGCTGCTGCTTGAGAAATTCTGATGTTTGTGTTGCTGTGAGTTGCTGTAATGCTATATGACACAGTCACCAGGAACTCAACTGGCATGACCAACTCTGTCACTTACTATGGTTTGCCTTGAAGATTAGGAGTGACCAAAAATTGTAAAATTAGGCTGACAAGTCTAAAAAGGAAAGGTTCTATCTTTTCTTTTTAAACTTCAACCTATAATTCCTGAAGATTATATTATGAAGAACAACCCATGTAATATAAATTGAGTTTGGGAAATCTTTTCAACATAGTTGAATCTTTTGAAATTAAAGGAATTTTCAATTTGGATTTTTTTCAGAAAGTTGCCAAATCTAAAAACAAACAAACCTTCTGATAAGGAAGTAACAAGCAAAATGAATGAACTTGAAATACATGGCTCATACAACTTGAAATACGTGGCTTATAGGAAAATAAATGTATACACATTTTGATATCATCTTAGTTATTCAGGGTGCACTTAGCTTTCAAAATTTATTAAAACCTCATCAAGAAGGAAATCTCAAATCACTTATTATGCTCCACAATTACTGTAAACGGAACAATTTAAATGAGAGGAGGAGATAATAACATTAACTTCTTAACATAAAGCAGTCCTCTGTGACATGATTTAAAAATATTCTCTTGGTCTGAAATTTATGTAAATTGAATTCATCTATCATTAGTTATTAGCAGTCTAGCTACATTAAAAAAAAACCAGTTATCTGTAACAATTAGTTTTTAAAATCACTGTGTTTTAATTAGACCTGGGACATTATTACACTGGCTATAAATATGTACAGTGTTTTATTTAATATGCCCCGATGCCTGAAATCAACAAGAATGCCCCCACACTTTTCCCCAAAAGTTCTTCTAGTAAAAATCTTTTGTTCAAAGTTTTAAGGTAATCCAAAATAAGTTTCCTTTTTGGATCTTATTATGCAGATATAAAAGGAATGGTCACTCATAATCAGAGAATAATCATTGAATCAACAGAGTTTAGTCAGAGATGAGCAATTTTTTCATTTAATGGATGTGCACAGTCACACAAAAGACCTCATGGCAGAGCTTTGACCAACATCTAGACCTACATTTCAGCTCAAGCTGTTTCTGCCACGACATACAATCATATTATATAGATCGTCCCCTTTAATCTTCTCACAATTCTACACTTACATACTCTTATTACCCTGTGTTATGTAAAGGAAGGTTATTTGGTTAAACTACTGTTAAGTAAAGCGAGGATTCAAACCCAGACAATCTGATTTCAGAAACCACAAATTTTCTTCATAATGAAAATTTCCATATGACTACAACATCATCCTCTAGGAATAACAAAATTAAATATGATGGTGTGCAATTTAGAATTTCCCTTCTGTAAAAGAAGTCCTCTTCCAAATCCCACCTCAAGCACAACTTGCCCCTGAAGCTTTTGCACATGATTCAGGGGAAATTAATCCCATTACTCAAAATTGCTGTGAAATCCTCATGTTCAGAAAGTCCTTGCTGCCCCTTGTCCATTCTCCTCTATCTTGGTAACAGAAATCTAAGTGTTAGCTCCTGGCAAAGCACCACACTTCCTAACCTTTCCAGTGGCTACATATAATCCTATGACTAAATTCTTCAATATCGGTGCAAGTATACTGCTGAGACTCAAGGAATGCTACTTTTTATAAAGAAGATTTAGCTTTTAGGGAACTCTTCTTTCCTTTCCCACTACCTTGCCTTGCAATCTAGATGTTTTGGCTGGAGCTCCAGCAGCAATCTTGGCCCATATAGAAACCTTGAGGAAGGAAGCTGCAGACTATGGATGGCAGAGGAGAAAGATAAGAATCTTGTCCCATGAGAGACCAGCAAGTCACTGTGCCATACTTGGACAGCTTCTCTCCAGATTTGTATAACAGAGAAATGAGTCTTTTTCCTCTATAAGTCACTATTATGGGGGAGTGGTGCTGTCAAGGAGGGTGAACCCAATTCTGATACAGTTTAGACCCACACATATTTCATAATCCTAGGTTTGCTGTAACTAGGTTGAAGAGGAAGGGAAAAAGAAAAAGAAATAGAATTACTTTTCTTCTAATGCTGGAGTACAAGAGGCCTAATCGCAATTTTCATTTTCAAACCTTGTTTGGTAATTTTCAACCTTAGGAAAGAAAAAGGAAAGGAAATGGGAAAAAACCCTTCTGCCTCCCTGCCACTGCTCATGCCAGTTCCTCTCCTGCTGCCTAAGTCCTACCCTTGTACAAGGCCCAGCACGGAGAAATCCCTTTTGTCGGACATTTGAATTTAGGGTGCATGGTGCCTGTGCTGTAATTGACAATCATAAATCTCCTGTAACATCTTTTGTTCAGCCTGTTAACTTTGACATTGTATTTCTTATACTGTGTATCACCTCCTCAACCTAGTGGGACCTATCTTATATTTCTTTGCACCCTCGATAGCTACTAGACAACTGTCTTTGTGCACAGGAGATCAAAATACTTTTGATTAACTGAGTTAAGTAAGAAAAACATGAAGAAAGGAAAAAGAGCAAAACATGAAGGAATGAGAATGCACAACTGAGAGTTGAAGAAGCAGAATAAAAATGCTACAGAGCTCCTGGATTGGGCTAGGGGTGTGACTTGGTGGTAGAGTTCGGTGCCTAGCATGTGCAAGGGCCCTGGGTTCCATTCCCAGCACGATCTGGGCTTGGTAGAAAAAGATCATGAAAGGCTCCCACAGTCAGCACAAACCTCAGACTCTACCTAGTGAGCTGGTTCTCCAGTGGACAGAAGGTGTACTTTGCTTCAGCCACTTGGACAATTATCTGCATTTTATTTTCTCAATTATCATTGATATTTTCAAGAGTAAGAAACCCGACTTAAGAAACCAGGCCTTGTAGTGGATGTGTATGATTTCAAACCATATAAAACCAGCAAAATGGTATTTTACAGATATTATTCTGCTAAACAATTGGGTAACATAGAGAATGATACTCCAACACATGAAATAATGACTTTGCAAAATATTGCTGAGTCTAAACTAAGTAGTCCAAGACATTATAAAATGGACTTTATTACTCTCTTCTAAACCTAATAATACACATTACCAAAATAAACATCATATCCTATTTAAAAATAGGATATACCCTAAGCATATTTTTTACAGCAGTTACATCCTTAACAGTTTGGTAAGGCTATATACATTAAAAGTTGTGTAGCACTATACGGAATTAACATTGTGTAACAATGTGTTTAAAAGCTTTAACTACAGTTAAATACATACAGTGGAGTAATAAGTGACATAAACAGTATTCTAACCAGCATAATAGGTGTTTTACCTGGATTCATGAACCAGTTTACAGCCCACTGATTTTATTCTCAATTACTCGTAAATCACTATACTGTATATTGATTAATGAGTTATGCATCTAAAACTATAATGTTCTACCTTATTTTCATGAATTTAGTAAAGTTTTAGGGAGCAAGTAACACTTCTAAGAAGAAATTCAGTTTCTCATTCTTTTATAACACAAATCAATCTCTGTGATACCATCTATTTAAAAAATAATAATTAAAATGCTAAAATAATACTTTTATAGTGATAGTGATTCTGCTTATGAAAGTTAACATACTTTTGAAGCTCTAAAAATACTACATTTTCTTATAGATTACTCAGTAGTTATATCCTATGTCAAAGTTTTTTTACAGAGATTTCTCAGAAATATCCAAGACAGTAGCTTCTAGGACAGTAAAATATACAAAATAAATGACATGCCAAGAAGTAAATTAGCACTTCCTTTGACCAGCTGGGTCACATTTCCTTTTCAAAACCCCAGTCCCAGAACACAAAATAATAGTAATCTAAACGACCTCATTAAATGATCAATATATTGACATAACCTCTATAAGGAGACACACAATGTTTTAATTGATTCTTTGAATCCATTGAATGGAATAATAAACCTAAGCCTCCAAAATATATTGTAAGACAACATTTGTCTTATTCATTAACTAATTTTCCTCAGGTTATGATTATGGGCACATGAAAAAATTCAAGAACTTTTATATTTAACCAAAAAGTAAAAAAAAAAAAAGTCCAAATTCTACTAACTCTTTCATACAAACAATATTACAACAAAAGTTTTAATAGGCAAAATTAAGCCATGTTTACTTACCAAAAAGCTTCCAAAGGCTGAATTAAATATCGCAGCTGCCTACAGAGAAAATAAATGGGGAAAAACTCACTGAAAGTAAAGAGACATAAGAGAAGCAAAGATTACCATTCTCCCCTCCCCTACTATTCCAAACCTTAAAACATTAACCCTACAAGGCAAAGTTAGCCACTGCTTTAAAAATTGCCATTGGCCTCTAGTTTCTAGGATAGATGAGCTATAGTTTAGGAATTCATAAATAATGGGTCTCCAACGCAGGCAGACAAGGCTGGCCAGGAGATGCCTTGGACCTGCCTGACAGGACCAAAAGGATCATCACCAAGAGTAAATCAAAATCTTGTTGGTATTGATTCTGCTGCTAGACCTAGAACAATCAGAGATTGATTTACTCATCAAAACAATTCATATTACTGAGAGAACAAAAAAGAGAATTATAAGGCACACATTAATTGCTCCCCACGAGTGAACATAAGTGCTATGAACTATGACCAGCAGGTGAGAGCTGCTATTACCATATAACACACTTTAGCAACCTGAACAATGCAGGTAAGATAAGGACAGCTGTCCCTATACCATTATTTCTCAGGTAGAAACAATCAAGAAACACTTCAATTTGGTGCTCAAAATTCAGAGAAGAAATATTTGACTTTGTGCTTACCTAGACATCCATGAGGTAACATAGCTCTTAATTTTAAACCAATTACTACATTCCATGAAGCTACACCACAGTCCTGAAAGCTTTCACATTACACAAAAAGGAGAAAAACTTGTATAACATCCAATTTGATGAAAGAAAAGAGGAGAAAGGAAAAAAATTAGGAAAAAGCAAAAGGAGAGGTAGAGAAAACCTATTTACATCTCCGGCAGATCCAGAACAGAATTAAATTAATCATCATGGATATTAGCAGCCACACTAGTGAAAAGTGGATGTCAGTTTAGTGAGTTTGAATAAAGTCCAAAGCCAGGCTAAGAGCTGTAGCTGAAATGCCTTCTGCTCCAGAAGAGGATGCAATGAGAGTGAATGGGTAATGAGATCCCTGGCTCCAGAGAGCTTGGCTCTCCTCTTCCAGTTCATAATTAATTCAAAGCTTTGATAATTTCATTAGATTTCTCCTTTGCTGGCCCTATCAATAAAAGATGGCACTGGACACAGCTCCTCTGTGGCATAAACACAGGCACAGTCACAGACCAGGGAAACATTTGCTTCTCGACAGGGACAATGACATATGGTGTTCTGTGTTGTATTGGGAAAGATGGGGGGGGGGATTCAGCTAAATAAAACATTATACATGACAGTTGTAAACTATAGCACATACTTAACCCTGCTTCCTGGAATTCCACTATGGATGATCACAGGAAAGTTTTATGTATGGAGAAAAATAAAAGGGTATAAGTAAGCGAGTTGTGGTAAGGTCAACAGGGAACACTACCTTCCTTCTTACAAAAATGTACTTCCTCC